ATTGACCCATTTCCTATTTGTAAACTTAAACAAACAAATGAATGAATGATGGGGGCAGCACAATGCATATCAGGCTATTCCTCTGCTTGTAGCACCTGTATCCCATATAGACACTGGTTTGAACCCCAGCTGCTCCACTTCAGTACCAGCCCAGCTCTAGCCATTGTAGTTATTTGGGGATTGAACCAGTAGATGAAAGATCTCTGTGTTTCTCTCTGTAACTGACTTGGAAGTGAAATTAATAAATCTTCAAAACCAACATTTATTTATTTGAAAGGCAGAGTTAAAGAGTGAGAGAGATCTTCCATCCAGTGCTTCATTCCCCAAATGGATACAATGACCAGGTTTGGGCAAGGCTGATGCTGGAAGACAAGAGCTTTATCTTTGTTTTTTACAGTTGGGGCAGGAGCTAAGCAATTGGGCCACCTTCTGCTGTTCTCCTGAGCATATCTGCAGGGAGCTGTCTCAGAAATGGAGCAGCTCAGACTTAGACTGGTACCCGTGATGGATGATGCTAATCCACTGCCTATTTCCCACCCCATGACAACTCAACTGCACAGTTACATTTTCCTATCTAATCTTTCAGTTTACTATCTCTTATCCCAAAATAAATCATGCTCTCCCAGAGGGCATCATATTTCATTTCTACACAGTTCTTAGAACAGTATTGGTGCTTTGCACTGAGGTTGCACCAATAATAATTATTCATCAGTTGACACCGCACCCCCCACCCCCCGCCAAAAAAATCACAGGCTTTCTAAAGTTTTACTTAACGTGTTTAGATTGGGGCCTGGCACAATGGGCTCAATCCTCACCTTGTAAGTGTTGAGATCCCATATTTGTGCTAAGTTGTGTTCCATCTGCTCCACTTCCCATCCAGTTCCTGCTTGTGTGCTGGGAAAGCAGCAGAGGATGGCCCAAAGCTTTGTGACCCTGCACCCGCGTGGGAGGTCTAGAGGTTATTTCTGGCTTCTGGCTTTAGATCAGGTCAGCTCCAGCCATTGTTGCCATTTGGGGAGTGAGATATTGGATGGGAGACCTTTCTGTTTCTCCTTTCTCTCCATGAATATGATGTGCCTCTCTAATAATAATTTTTAAAAAGATAAGTTTTGTTTTTTGTTTGTTTTTTACAAAGTTCTTATAGGGGTGGGCTTTTGGCCTCGTGGTTAAGATGGTACCTGGGATTCTTGCCTTCTGTATGATATGACTCAGGTGACTGGATTCCTGGCACGCATATGGGGAACCTGTGTTACATCCTTGACTCCTGGCTGCTTTTGGATGCATTTTGGGAGGGAACCAGAGGGTAGGAGCTGTCTCTGAAATCAAGTGGGTCTCTGTGAGTAGAGGCAGCACCTCTCTTTAATCACTATTTTTTTTGAGGGGGGGCGGTATCTATTTCTGGGAGTTACAAATATTGTATACAGTCAATGTAGAGGGCTAGGTATTGCTCACCTGGACAGCAGTAGCTTTGGGATCAATTACTTCATTAGGAAACAGATACCTTTTAGAACAGAAGTGAGATTGCACTACAATTACTGAGAATTGTACAGAAAAATCAGTGGACTTCCACTCTGAAAAACCCAGATTTGTGTCATGGTTCTGCCACTTGTGCAGTCTGGCAAGGCACCTTTTGTCTTTAAAAAGAACTCTTGATGAGATCATAAGAAATCAATTAAAAATCTATACGAACTTAGTCTAGCATACAATGCAACTCAATAATGCATTTGTTTACCTTTTTGCCCACTATCTGTTCAAACACATCCCTAAGGCAATCCAATAAATCGAGAGGTGTTTATTTGCAAAGTTTTGTTATACAAGAACTCTCTTACGGTGATCATTAGGATAAATATCTGCTCTGTTTCGTTTTTTGGGGGGAGGTGATCATTTCTATACATTTCAGGTCAGATACGTCTGACGATCCATGGAGGATGCTGCTACTGCAGGAGGAGGATTAGGTAAGCGCCATGGCAGCAGCATGTCCTTACACACTGTAAACCATGACTTGCATAAGCCCTCAGGTCTAACAGTAAAACCAATAGACCTGGTGTTGTAGTAGAAAGATAAGGCAGAGCTGATCTTAGGCTTTGGTGGAAGCTAAGGTTCTACTGTGGGCTGCTACGATCTTATCTTCTTCTGACCAAGCAGATAACTTCAGTCTGTGTGCTCTTAGCGTTATTTACTGCCCAGGATGGGTGTGGAAACATCTACCTTTCAACAGTGATGTAATTCTTAATTGGTGTTTGTTACAAAGTCTCATGTACTTGGATATTTTTAAATAAATGCAAAGTACTCAACTAGTTTATCAGTATCTCTCCTTGTACTTTTGCTAAAATATTATTTTTTACTTCCTGATTTAAAAAAAATGCTGCATTAAAACACATTTTGTAATTAAAATGGCAAAAACCAATTTCTTCCTATTTGGTTATGGAGACTGTTACATGCATATGAGAATTCTGGTGAGCCGCCTAAACCATCCTACTACTTACTATGCCAGGGAATTTCATGTCCCAGGAAAGCTTTGTCCTGAATGGAGGCCCCCTGAGACTGTGGTCTGACATTCCTAATCCTGTTCAAAGCTCACGGCTGTAAACACCTGTGCTTAGAAGAGCTCCCAGTGCTCTTCTGATTCTATTAATCCGAAAGGCATCTGCACATGCTTATTTACTCAGCTGGTATTTAGTTCATGACCATTTGAGAGTCTGTCCAGCTTTCGTGACTGCATACAAACGTGTTTTTACTTACTAGGAAATGGGGACACTGGTGGCACATAATTGACAGCCATGAGTCTTTTGACACCAAGGTAGTATTAACCCTGTGCATTTGCATTTTCAATGACCTCCTCTTGTTTACAGTCCTTCAACTTGGTCATCAGCAGGGCTGTGTGAGCAGTAACACAGCCGACACCTTACAGAGCAAGTGACTTACAAAAACAAACTATGTGGGTCATCTTCAGCCAAGGTGGGGCCAGAGAGAGGCTGTTCTGGCTTTCCTGAAATAGCACCATGACCTAACCTGAATCCAAGGTAGTTTCCAAAATATGAATGGAATGAATATTGTGGAGGGTCTGGTTATGAAGGCTTGTCTGAGAACTAGAGAATGAGAATTCAGAAATACTACGACACTGCTGACAATACCCATCGAGAAAAAAAAAAAATCACAAGAAACCTAAGGTTTCTGGCCCCAAAGCCATTTTCTTCCCCTCAGAAAACAAGGATCATATGGTGTGTGTATGCAGAAACACAGCAAAAACTGACCAGAAACAGATCCCATTGGCTTTAGTTTTCCAACAACGTGAACCTCCTGACACTCCTGAAAGTAAGTTCCAATTTGGGGAGCATGTGACTAGGTGTGGGTTGCTGTCAGATGCTTTAGAGATGTCACTCCACTGGCTACCAACAACCCTATGAGAACAGGAGCCCAGTCCTCCCAGTTGTAGCTCTGAGAGGCCCTGCCATGGCTTCAGGAGTTCACACATCAGCTGGCAGAAAGAGAGAGAGGCTGGTCTGCTTCTCAACCCTCAACAGCTCTAAAGCTTCTTGAACTTTCAGACCCAGACCTTAGCATGCAGACTATTCAGTATTTCCTTGCCCAGAAAGCCCCTCCTACTTGGCAGCTTTCAGTAACGTCATCATTGTCACCTTGTGGTTCAAATTCCAACTCCACGGGACTTTCCTGGAGTCTTCTTAAGAACCCCACAGCCAAATAAGCAGCAACCGTGCCGGCCCTACTTTTAAATGACAGCAGAATGTGGCCTCTTGGGATCACCTGCTCTGTCCACTGGCCTCGGTCAAGCCATTCTGGTTGCTCACCCGGCCTCCTGAAACAGCTAACAGCGCATCCTCCCCCTTTTTTCCCTCCCGCTCAGAAGAACTAGAGTTCTTTTCTTTTTTGAAAATCCAGGATCTGAATTTCATTCTTCACTTGATCTTAGCCAAAAGGCCGAGAAGCGATTCTGAATTTCATTCTTGTGTCTAACACCTCTGAAAAGCTCCCCATTCTAACAACGTGGAGCTTCAGAGAGTTGCGCTGGCCTTCTCTCTGTCTCTGCTCACTTTGTGCCTGCCACACTGGTCCTGTTTAGGGCACGTTTAGGGTGATGGTGGTGGTGGACGGAAGGGACGGGGACGGGACGTCCCAGGAGTGACAATTCAGAAATGCCGCACAGCGTTGGACCGGGGTGGGGGTGGGGTGATAATCAGGGCTCGGCACAGCCCGGCCTTTGAAACGGGAGTTCACAGAATGTTCTCGGCCGTGCATGCTTCCCTAGCTCTCCCGCCCTGTTTACAAAGACCTGAGTCCACTCTGGGGATGACATCAGCACAGTGACCCCTGACGACCTCGCCCTTCACCTGCCGGCACTCGGGGGACTCACTCACTCTGCACCCCGCCTCCCCCGGGGCGCACGCGGCGGCGGCGGCGGCGGGGCAGGTGCCCGCCTCGGGGTGTGGGGCGGTGCCCGGGGGGGAGGGTACTGCACGGCAACGTCGTTACAAAGCCTCCTGACGGCTCTGAAACATCCCGCCCCTTCCGCTTCGGCCCCTCGGGATCCCCCCAGGTGTAAAAGCGCGGCTGCCCTCCGTCCACCCCCGACTTCCCGGTGCGCAGGCCTGCTCCTCCTCCTCCTCCTCAGAAGCTCCGGGCCCCACACGGCGCCCGGCGCCCCGAGTCCCGGAGACGCCCCCATGGTGACGTCACCGCCGGGGACGCCGGCGCGCGCTGCACCTGCCGCACAGCGCGCAGGCCCGGGAGTCGCCGCCTCTCCCCGCCCCGGGCTGGAGAAGGCCGGAGGGCGGATCCCCGGGGGTCCCGCAGCCGCAGCCCGCGGGGTGAGCCGCGCTTCTCCCCTCGGCCGACCTGCGGGAAGCGCCGGGCCGGGCACGCGCGTGCGCGCGGGGTTTCCCGCCCAGCGTGCAAGGGGCGCCGGGGCGGGGGGCGCCGTGACGCGCGCGGTGACGCGCGACGCGGCGCGACGCGGTGACGCACGCCCCTTTGTTGGCTCAGTAGCGGCAGCGGCGGCCGTGGAGGTGGCGCTCGGGGCTGTTTTCTCTCAGCGGCCGGAGCGGAGCGGCGTCTGACTGAGGCGGGCGGCCGCAGGCCCTGGCCCCGTCCCGCCTCCTGCTGCTCCTGCTGCCGCCGCGCGCCCGCCCGTCCGCCCGCCCGCCGCCGCCCCGCGCCGGGGACGAGTCGCGGCCCGCGCGGCCGCCGCCGAGGCCTGCGCCCCGGACAGCCGCCGGAGCCGGAGCCGAGAAGCCGGGGCCTCGCTCGCGGTGTCCCCGCCCTCTCTCGTCTCCCCTCCTCCTCCTCCTCCTCCTCCCTCCCCGGGCCTCGGGCCCCGCCGTCGCGCCATGGACTCGGACGAAGGCTACAACTACGAGTTCGACGAAGACGAGGAGTGCAGCGAGGAGGACAGCGGCGCCGAAGAGGAGGACGAGGACGACGACGAGCCGGACGATGATAACCTGGACCTGGGCGAGGTGGAGCTGGTGGAACCCGGGCTGGGCGTCGGCGGGGAACGGGACGGACTGCTGTGCGGGGAGACGGGCGGCGGCGGCGGCGGCAGCGCCTTGGGGCCGGGCGGCGGAGGTGGCGGCGGCGGCGGAGGCGGCGGCGGCGGGCCGGGGCACGAGCAGGAGGAGGACTACCGCTACGAGGTGCTCACGGCCGAGCAGATCCTGCAGCACATGGTGGAGTGCATCCGGGAGGTCAACGAGGTCATCCAGGTGAGCGCCGGCCGGACTCGGGGGGCCGCGCGCGGTGGGGTTGGGGCGGCGCTTCCCCGGGTCCCTGCCATGGCGGAGGCGCCCGGGCCCTGCGGCGGGACGGGACGAGGCTGGACGAGGCGGACGCGTGCCTTCTCCCTGCCCCTGGTCGGCTGGCCGGCTGGCTTTGGGGGGTGCTCTCTGCTTTCCGAGTCTTGGGGTGCGGAGGCTCCGGGCCCTCGGGCCAGGCGGGTGCGTGCCTTCTCCCTCCCCCTGGCCGGCTGGCTGGCTGGCTTGGGGGATGCTCTTCCCCCTTGCAAATCTCTGGGTGCGGAGGTTCCGGGCCCCCCCGGCGGGGCGGGGAGAGGCGAACTCGTGTCCCGTCCCTCCTCCCGGCTGGCTGGCTGACTTTGGGGGTGTTCTCCCCTTTGCAAACCTTGCGGTGCCCAGAGCTAGGGGGGGAATAGGGCAGGCCCGAGAATCGCTGCCGGGTGCTCGGTCGCCCCAAGCGGGCAGCAGAGAAGGAGGAAGCAGATCTGCTGGGCCGTTCCGGTGCCGACCGGCGGGGAGGGCAAGAGGAGATGCTGCTGCTGCTGCGCCCCAACTGGGCTTCGGGGGGCCCCTGCCCGCCCCGCTGGGCTGCAGTCACCGTCCTGCCCCCCGGAGCTCCGGCCCGGCCGCACCCCGCGTTCTCGCGGCTGAAACGACAACGACAGAACGCAGGATTCCATTGTGAGGTAGAGCCGCTCGTTTGCTGCTTCCGTGCTTAGGAAGTAAGGCTGGGTTGAAATGGAGGGTCGCGACTTTTCTGCACATTGCGCATCATTTTTCTTAAGCTTTTTTTTTTTTTTTTTTGCAGTTTCTGAGCTTTTGAGTTTTCGTGGCGGGGGGAGGGCTGGGGTACATCGGGAGTCGTCAGGGATATGGTTCAAGAATGGAAATGGTTTTGGTTCAGTGCAGGTCTTGGTAAACCCAAGTTCGGCCGTGAGTTCCTGCATGCTCCTCGTCCCCTTTAAACACTGTCCCTTAGTGGGCTGGCTGGCTGGATGCTCGTGGAGAAGTCAGCAGCTGTCATTGCCTGCTTGTTGACCTTCCATTTCCTACAGATTTTTGCGGTTTGTTTCACGATCAGCAGTTCGAAAGAGAACTGTCTTTGAAGGCACCGCTTCCTGTTTGGATAGGAGGGCTCATGTCTGCTAGTAGCAGGCACTTAGACGTTTTTCCGTCGATGACACGGGCTCAGGAGGCGCTTCAAGGTTTGCTGATGGAAGTTGACTGCTCTGTGTCTGGTTACAAGAAATGTGCTTGAATTAATCAGGCCACTGAATTGGGCGTTTTCTTTTTTTTTTTCCCTAAAGGAAAGCTTTTTGTAGCTGAATAAAATCTCTTTTCAGGCTTATTGCCTAGCTTTCTGTGATTTAAACTAGGTTTTTAAAATTTTGGGCATTTATTGCTTAAGTGTAAACTTGGTAGACTTGGTTCTACAATTAAATCTCATCCAGTTATTTCCATTCTTAAGGCTTATTTTAATGACTAAAGGTCCCAAAGAAGTTCTTTATATCACTTCTGGAACAGAAATGTCGTTGTGTGACATCATTCTTTTCTTTGTTTGGGTGAGAGAATAAATGCTGATGGAGTGAATTAGCAAGTCCTACAAAAGACTAAAGACTTTTTTTGTTTGAATGTGTTCTACTTTTATCTTGTTTCTATGCCTGATTTTTGAAAAAAAGTTCTAGTCTCTGTAAGGATGTTCTTAAATATAATTCTTGTGTATATCTGATATTGCATATTTATTAATTATTTGTCCCTTTTTAAAACTTCATACTTAGAGCAGTATAATCAGATATATCTGAGATTTTTATTTTCAAGTGGTATATACTTACTAGGTCTAAGAGGGGCTTTGGTTATGCAGTTTCATTTTGTTGCTAGATTTAGGCTTGAGTTTTGCAAGTAATACATGCACAGTATGGGGGAGGAAAGTTACAACGTGAGAAAAAGGACAATCAGAATAAACCTGTGGTCCTGAAAGGTGACCCTAAACTGAACTGCAGTTACCTTTGGGTGCTCTGGATAGCTGCTCATAGTTTGTAGTAACAGTGGACTCATGCGGCACATTTGCTTGAGTGGACAACAGGTGGCCAAAACCAGCATCCTCTGGGAACTCTTTCTCATGTCTGTATGCTACTTTTTTTTAGGGTCATAGTGATGATTTGTTTCCGTTTAACCAGTGCATTTATTTATTAGCTCTCCTTTTTATTTCTGGTTTCTGGGTTCTGTAGAAATTGCTGAAAATTCTCATAGACCAATCTTTACACAATCTCATGTCACCATGGTGTGGCTGGCAGGGCACCTGAGCTGACACCCGCTGTCTCCCAGGGGTGTGGCAGCAGGAAGCTGATTAGTGTTAACTGGACTCACCTGGACCCTAGTGCCAGCCTGTGGGTGTCCTGTCCTGTGGAATGTGTACTCCACTTTTGAGTGTGTTCATGGAATAGGTTTAATTATCTCAAAAAAAGAGCTTGCCCATTTCAAGTATATATCCTTGTACTTTGAAGGAGATTTGACTAGTTCTGCCAGCCAGTCAGTGCATGCTTTGCATAATACCATCATTTAAAAAGTTTGCCCTTCTGGGGGCCGGTGCTTCAGTTCAGTTGGCTGACCTCTGCCTGCAAGCACTGACATCTCATATAGGTTCCGATTCTTGTTCTGGCTGTTCCACTTCCCATCCAGCTCCCTGCTTGTGGCCTGGGAAAGCAGTAGAGGATGGCCCAAAGCCTTGGGACCCTGCACCCGCATGGGATATCTGGAAGAAGTTCCTGGCTCCTGGCTTTGGGTCAGCTCAGCTTCAGCTGTTGCAGCCACTTGGGGAGTGAACCAGCGAATGGAAGATCTTACTGTATCTCCTTCTCTCTGCAAATCTGCCTAATAAAAAATAAGTACATTTTTTTCTTAAGATTTATTTATTTTTATTGAAAAGTTAGAAGAGAATGATGTTCCAGCCTCTGGTTTTCTCCTTAGGAACCTGCAACAGCCAGTGCCAGATGAGGCAGAATTGGCACTCCACATCTGCATCTCCCCCTAGGTGTCAGGAACCCAAGTGCATGGGCCATCATTACCCACCACTTCCCCAGCACTGGCTTGCCAGTGTAGGAAGCTGAGACATAGGCATCTTAGATGACGGCTCAACCCACTGTACCCCAATGCCTGCCCCAAGTCTAAGCTTTTCAGTGAAAAAATACTTTGTAAAAAAAGAGATTATGGGGGCCCAATGTGGTAGCGAAAGTCCTTACTTGTAATAGCTGTGATCCCATATGGGTGCAGATTCGTGTCCTGATTGCTCCAGTTCCCATCCAGACCCTGTACCTGCTTGAGAGACTTGGAAGAAACTCCTGGCCTCGGATTGGTGTAGTTCTGGCTATTGTGACCACTTGAGTGAACGGCGGACACAATATGTTTTTCTTATCTTCTCTGTAAATCTGTCTTTTCAATAAAGATAAATAAATCTTTTTAAAAAAAGACAGATTGTTTGAACACAAAGAGAGAAAGAGATCTGTCTGCTGGTTCCCCCTCCAGCTGACTTCAGTGGCTAGGGAGCACCATTGTGAAGCCAGCACTGCTTTTGGGTCTCCCACATGGGTCACATTATCTTTGGCTAATTGCTTTAATCATATTTCACTGGTTAAATGAAAAGATGGAGTTAAAGAACCTCCCAAGTTTCAAGCCCTCAATTCTAGTCCCCTCAGTTTACCTTGGACTTAAATCTTGGCACCTTCAGATTTTGATTTTAGTCTGGCAGATGGAAACTAGAGAGATGTGATGCTGATGCACATGTAGGAGGAGTCAGTTCTGACGTCGCCTTTGGTGAGGGGTAAGGTTTCTTTGGGGATGGATACCCTCACCACGCTCCCACTTTCCACAACTGAACCTCTGGACTCAGAACTCCAACTATGGTGAAAATCACAGGATCTGTGGTCTGACCATGGAATGTATGTGTCAGGTCTGGGTCTCCACAGTTGCTGAAGCCTGTGCAGAGGACAGCATGCCCAGACGCACATGGGGGACATGACAACAGCTCAACAGCTCAGTGATGCCTGCGCAGGATGTCTGGTTATCTCATGGAGAGCAGAGAAAATTGGACAGCTCTCCTGGCCGCACTTTAACAGCGAGTATTTGGGTAAATGGAGACTAAGGTGGATTATATTGCCAGTGAACCTTGGAAGGATTTCCACATCCTTGGACTGGGGAGATCGACAGCATTTCAGAACTATCAGAACCACTTAAGCTATACCCTAGGACCATGCTCCACGTCGGAGACTCTGGGATGACAACGGGTGGCTGTTCCGCATTTGTTGGGAAGGTAGATTTTACGGAGAGCAGAGAGACAGAAAGTCTTCCATCCCCTGGCTTCCCAAATGGTCACTGTGGGCAAAGTTGAGCTGTAACAAAGCTGGGAGGCTGGAAATTCTTCCAGATTTCCCACATGGGTCTTGGTTTCAAGGACTTGGGCTATAAGCAGGTTGAAAGTGAAGCAGCCAGAATTCAAACGGCACCCATATGAGATGGCAGAATTGTGTGATTGATGATTAGCTTACTAAGCCACCATTCCAGGCACCTACAAAAGATTGCCTGTTCAACATTCTTTTACAAACCTCAGGACCCATCAAAGGAGCCCAACAACTCAAGTCCTCACTTTGCATGTGCCAGGGTCCCATATAGGCACCGGTTCATGTCCAAGTAAGTGGCCCTTTTCCCATCTAACTCCCTGCTTGTGGCTTGGGAGGGCAGTGGAGGATGACTCAAAGACTTGCGACTCTGCACCCATGTGGGAGACCTGGAAGAAGCTACAGGCTCCTGGCTTCAGATCGTCTTAGCTCCCGCCATTGCAGCCACTTGGGAAGTGAATGAGTGGATCAAAGATCTTCGTGTCTCTTCTCTGTGTATATCTGACTTTCCAATAAAAATAAACCATTAAAACACCTCAGTTAGAGCCAGCGTGATAGCATTGCAGCTAAAGACCTCTC